ATCATTCACCTCTTTTGTCAAATTTATTCCTAAGTACTTTATTATTTTTGATGTTATTGTAAACTGGATTTTTTTTCTTTTTCAAATAGTTCATTGTTAATGTATAGAAATGCAACTCTTTTTGTATGTTGATTTTGTATCCTGAAACTTGACTGAATTTGTGTTTAAATTCTAACAGGTTTTTTGGTGGAGTTTTTAGGATTTTCTATATACAAGATTATATCATCAGCAAACAGAGACAATTTTACTTCTTCCTTTCTGATTTGGATGACTTTTATTTCTTTTTCTTGCCTAATTGCTCTAGCTAAAATTTCCAGGTCTAGGTGGAATAGGAGTTGTGAGTGTGAGCACCCTTGTCTTTTTTTTCTTTTTTTTTTGTCAGGAAGATCAGCCCTGAGCTCACATCCATGCTAATCCTCCTCTTTTTGCTGAGGAAGACGGGCCCTGAGCTAACATCTATTGCCAATCCTCCTCCTTTTTTCCCCTTTTTCTCCCCCAAAGCTCCAGTAGATAGTTGTATGTCATAGTTGCACATCCTTCTAGTTGCTGTATGTGGGATGCTGCCTCAGCATGGCCAGACAAGCGGTGCGTCAGTGGGCACCCGGGATCCGAACCCGGGCTGCCAGTAGTGGAGCGCGCACACTCAACCGCTAAGCCATGGGGCTGGCCCCCGTGAGCACCCTTGTCTTATACTTATCTTATAGAGAAAGCATTCAAGCATCACCATTTCTTTATTTTTTTTCACCAAATCTTAATGCCAGTTCATTATTTTTTGGTATTCAGTAGTCCAAAAATAATGTCCACAAATTAAGCAGCATTCTCAAATAGTTAGAATTGGCCAGGCACCAGGCACATAAATTACACTCCATCATCTTTAATAAAGAAGAAATATCAGGTGCTGTCTTGGAAATTTTTTGAATCAGTACTCAGCCTTTACCTTCTCAGTTTAGAATGACTTGGAAGCAAAAATGGTAGTAACAAAAAATTATGGGAAATTCAGGTGCTTAACATGACTCTCATCTCCTGTTGCAGAAAGCTCAAAGGAGCTATTTTTTAATTTTTTTTTCCTTCCATATGGTTCATGCTTTCTTTTCCATTTCCTTTTTCTTTTTTTATTGAGGTATAATTGACATATAACATTATATTAGTTTCAAGTGTGCAACATAATAATTTGATATTTGTATATATTGCAAAATGATCACAATAAGCCTAGTTAGCATCAGATGATACAGTTACAAATTTTTCTGTGTGTAATGAGAACTTTTAATATTTACTCTCTTAGCAACTTTCAAATATGCAATATAGTATTAACTATAGTCACCATGCTGTACCTTATATCCCTATAATTTATCCATTTTAAAGTTCTCAACCTTCACCATTGACTACGAGGTTAGCCATGAGTTTGTCATATACAATGATGAACCACACATAACATTTCAGTCAATGACAGACTGTATATATGATGGTGGTCCCAAGATTATAATGGAGCTGAAAAATTCCTATTGCCTAGTGACATCATAGCCATCGTAACATCACAGTGCAATGCATCACTCACATCTTTGCGATGCTGGTGTAAACAAACCTACTGTACTTCCAGTCGTATAAAAGTACAGCATATACAATTATGTACAGTACATGATACTTGATAATAAATGCCTATGTTATTGGTTTATATATTACTATAATAAACTTTTCTTTTCTTTTTGTTTTTTTTGTGAGGAGATCAGCCCTGTGCTAACATCTGCCAACCCTCCTCTTTTTCTGCTGAGGAAGACTGGCCCTGGGCTAACATCCATGGCTATCTTCCTCCACTTTGTATGGGACACCACCACAGCATGGCTTAACAAGCCATGCGTTGGTGCGCGCCCGGGATCCCCGGCCGGCGATCCCCAGGCCACTGCAGCAGAGCGCGCGCACTTAACTGCCTGCACCACCGGGCCGGCCCCTATAATAAACTTTTTATTATTATTTTAGAGTGCACTCTTATAAAAAAAAAGGTTACTGTAAAACAGTATGGCATGTTACTCTGGCAGCAGCCTCATACATCTCATGTTTACAGTGTCTCTTGACTGCATCATTTTCTTTTGTGCTTGATAAAATGTCATGTTGTTTTGTTCATCATGGCCCTTAAGCATACAAAATCCACTGTTAATGTTGCCAGTAGGAGGTCACATTGAGTGATTAACCTGGAAACAAAATTAAAAGTGATTAAGGACTATGAAGGTGGAAAGTCAGTGATAGCTATTGCTTGTCAGTCAGACATGTCCCATTATACCATAGCTACAGTCTTAAAGAACAAGAACAAAGTGATGGAAGCTGTTAAAGGATTTGCTTTAGTGAAATCAATGAGACTAACAAAAATTTGAGCAGGGCCTGTATCAGTCATGGAGAAACTTCTAATGACCTGGATTGTAGCAGACACAGAAGCATATCCCTCTCAGCACCATGGCAATCACTGCCAAAGCAAAAGCTTGTTTACAATATTAAAAGAAAATGCTGGATCTGACTATGATGTCAACTTTACTGATAGCTCTGGGTGGTTTAAACAATTCAAGAATTGTTATTTATTATATAATGTGAAAGTGAGTTATGAGTCTGGGAGTGCTGATATGAAGGCAGCTGAAGAATTTTTGGAAACTCTAGGTAAGCTGATTGTGGAGAAAAATTACTTGCCAGAGCAAATATTCAATATGGATGAAACCTCCCTATTCTGGAAATGGATAGCTGAAAGGACTTTCACCCTTAAGGAGGCCAAATCAATACCAAGTTTCAAGGCTTTTAAGCACAGGATAACAGTCTTGCTTGGGGGCAATGTTGCAGGCCAAATTGAAACCCTTTATGATCTGACACAGTGGGAACCCCAGGGCCTTCAAGCATATCAATAAGCACACACTGTCAGTGTACTACAGAAGCAATAAGAAGTCATGGGTGACCCAGATCCTCTTTCAAGATGCCCTACTGAATTGCTATGTCAGCAAAATGGAGAAGTCCTGTTTGGAGAATAACACACCTTTCAAAATTTTGATTATTGTTGATAATGCTCCTGGACAGCCTCCTTTTATTGAGGATCTTCATCTCAATATCAAAGTGGTGTTTCTCCCTCTAAATTCCACTGCTTTGATCCAACCAATGGTTCAAGGATTTATAGCAGCTTTTAAGACCTACTATCTGAAGAGGATCTTTGCCCATGCTGTTACTGCAACTGAGGAGGACACTGATGCAATTCTGGAAGGATTACAACACCTATGACTGCATCAAGACTCTTGATTGGGCTTGGGTTGATGTCACAAAGGAGTGTATAAATGGCCTCTGGAAGAAGACACTCAAGAGGTTCATCCACGACTTCAAAGGATTTGCCAAGGATGAAGAGGTTGCAAAAATCAACATGGCTGTCATTGAGATGGAAAACAACTTTAACCTGGGTGTGAATGAGGATGACATTGAGGAGCTCCTAGAGGTGGTTCCTGAGAAATTGACTAATGAGGATTTGTTGGAACTAGAACAGGAACACATATCTGAAGAAGAGGCCAGAGAAAAGGAAACTGCAGGAGAAGAAAAAGAAGAACTCCAAGAATATTCACAGTGGGGAAGGGTTTAGAAGAAGCTTTTGCAGGCCTCAATAAGCTCTTTAAAAAGTTTGGAAACATGGACTCCAACATCAAAAGGTTTTCATTAATAGAGAGGAATGTTCATGGTATATTATCCACTCACAAGCAATACTATGATGAAAAAAAGAAAACAAACCAAGCAAACTACCACGGGCATATTTCTGAAAAGAATGACATCTCCTCAAGAAGAACCTCAGGCAGGTGCTTCAGGAGATATGACAGAAGAAGGCATTTTTATCAAAGGAGATGACAGGTCCATGTGTGTAATTTCCCCTAAAGACCTTCCAGTGGGACAATATGTGGAGTTAGAAGACAGTAATATTGATGATCCTGACCCTGTGTAGTCCTAAGCTAATGTGTGTGTTTGTGTCCTAGTTTTTAACAAAAAAGTTCAAAAAGTAAAAAAAAAACATTAAAAATTTTAAAAATAGAAAAAAGTCTATAGAATAAAGATGAAAATATTTTTGTAGAATAGTTTGTAGAATGCACAAAAAATGTTTTGTACAATGTGTTTGTGTTTTAAGCTAAGTATTATTACAAAAGAGTCAAAAAGTTAAAAAAATTAAAAATTTATAAAATAAAAAAGTTATAGTAAGCTAAGGTTAATTTTATTGAAGAAAGAAAAATATGTTTTTATAAATTTAGTGTAGCCTAAGTGTACAGTGCTTATAAAATCTACAGTAGTGTACAGTAATGTCCTAGGCCTTCACATTCACTCACCACTGTCTCATTGACTCACCCAGAGCAACTTCCAGTCCTGCAAGTTCCATCGATGGTAAGTGCTCTGTACAGATATACCATTTTTTATATCTGTACCATATTTTTAGTGTACTTTTTCCATGTTTAGATATATTTAGATACACAAATACTTACTGTTGCATTACAATTGCTTGTAGTATTCAGTACAGTAATGTGCTTTATAGGTTTGTAGCCTAGAAGCAATAGGCTATATCATATAGCCCAGATATGTAGTAGGTTATACCATCTAGGTTTGTGTAAGTACACTCTATGATGTTTATACAACAACAAAATCATCTAATGATGCCTTTCTCAGAAAATATCCTTGTCATTAAGTGACACATGACTGTATGGCCTTTATAATGTTGAATTATGTTCCTTCTATACCCAATTTGTTGAGTGTGTTTATCATGAAAGGATGTTAAATTTTTTCGAATGCTTTTTCTGCATCTATTGAGATGATCATATGATTTTTGTCTTTCATTCTATTAATGTGATGTATCACATTGATTGATTTGTGTTTGTTGAACCGTGCTTGCGTCCCAGGTATACATCCCACTTGATCATGGTGTATGATCCTTTTAATGTGTTGTTGAATTTGATTTGCTAGTATTTCATTAAGTATTTTTTCATCTATGCTCACCAGATATATTGGCCTGTAGTTTTCTTTTCTGAGTGACCTTATTTAGCTTTGGCATCAGGTTAGTGTTGGCACTATAACATGAGTTTGGAAGTGTAGCCTCCTCTTCAATTCTTTGGAAGATCTTGGGAAGAGTTGACATTAATTTTTCTTTAAATGTTTGGTAGAATTCACTGTTAAAGCTATCTGGTCCCTGGGCTTTCTTTTGTTGAGAAGTTTTTGATTATTGATTCCATCTCCTCACTGGTTATAAGACTATTCAGATTTTCTTTTTTTTATGATTCAGTCTTGGTAGGTTGTATGTTTCTAGCAATTTATCCATTTCTTCTAGGTTGTCCAATTTGTTGGTGTATAATTGTTTGTAACAGTCTCTTATGAGCCTTTCATTTTCTGTGGTATCAGCTGTTATACCACCTCTTTCATTTATAATTTTATTTATTTGAGTCTTCTCTCTTTTTTTCTTGGTAAGTCTACCTAAAGTTTTGTCAATTTGGTTTATCTTTTCAAAAGACCAAGTCTTTCTTTCGCTGACATTTTTTATTCTCTATTTCATTTATTTGTGATTTGATGTTTGTTATCTCCTTCCTTGTGCTAACTTTGGGCTTAGTGTGATCTTCATTTTCTCATTCCTTAAACTTAAGTAGTTTATTTGAGATCTTTCTCAAACAAACAAAAATTGAGAAAATGTTTTCTAATAGACTGACCTTTCAAAAAACTTTTAAAGAGGTTTTGCAGGGTGAAGGAATATGTTACAGGTCAGAAATTCAGATCTAATGGCGGAGCATTAGAGAATGAAAAAATAAAGGTAAAATAAAAGTTTTATTTTTCTAATACTTAATTATTTTTAACACTTAAGTGATCTAACAGATAACAGTTTGTCCAAAATAACAATAGCAATAATGTACTCAATGATTATAGTTTATATACAAGTGAAATGAATGACAGCAATGATATAAGGAATGAGAGGGAGGAATTAAGAGTATTTTGTTACTATAAGGTACTTGCACTCTCCATGAAATTGTATAGTGTTATTTGAAAGTGGAGTTGAATTAGTAGTAAATATATGCTGCAAACGCTTGGGCAGTGAATAAGAAAAGGAAATAAAGAAGTACAATTGATATGGTAAGAAAGAATAGAAAATGGAATGAAATAAAATACTCATTTAAAATCACAAAAGGCATAAAAAGTGTAGAAGACAAAAGTAGGAACAAGGGCAATGAATAAAAAACAGTAATGATTATGGTAATATTAATCCAACTATATCAATAACCACTATAAACATCAATGGTCTGAATACACCAATTAAAAGGCAGAGTTTGTCAGAGTGAATCAAAAAACAAGACCAACTTTATGTTGTCTGTAAGAAACCCATTTTAAATATAAAGATGTATATACATTAAAAGTAAAGGAATGAAGAAAGATATACCATGATAACACTAATCAAAAGAAAGTTGAAGTAGCTATATTAATTTGAAACAGAGCAGACATTGGAACAAGAAAATTTATCAAGAATAAGGAGGGGTATTTCATAATAACAAAGAGGCAAATTCTCCAAGAAGACGTAACAGTCCTTAATGTGTAGGTGCCTAAAAACAAAGCATCAGAATCTATGAAGCAAAAACTGAGAGAACTGTGAGGTGAAATAAATGGATTCATTATTATAGTTGGAGACTTCAACAACCCTCTACTGGAAAAGTACAGATCTGTCAGGCAGAAAATCAGTAAGAACATAGTTGAACTAAATAGCACCATTAATTAACTAGATATATTTGACATAAATAGACTGCTTCATCCAAAACATCAGAAAATACATTCTTCTTAAGTTCACATGGTCCATTTTCCAGGATAGATTTGGGCCATAAAACACATCATAACGAATTTAAATTATTAGAAATTGCACAATGTCTGTTCTCAGACCACAATGGAATCAAACTAGAAATAAATAAAAGAAAGATACCTGGAAAATCCCCAAATACTTGGAGATCGAACAACACACTTCTAAATAACACATAGGTCAAAGAAAAAATATCAATAGAAATGAAAAAATACTTTGAACTAAATTAAAATACAGCTTAAATTAGTGGGATACAACAAAAGCAGTACTTTGAGGAAATTTATAGCATTTGAGTGCCTATATTAGAAAAGAAGAGAGATGTAAAATCAACTATCTAAGCTTCCACCTTAGGAAACTAGAAAAAGAAAACCAAATTAAATTCAAATAAGCAGAAGAATATAAACAATTAAAATTACAGCAGAAATCACTAAAATTGAACACGAAATTAATGGAGAAAATCAATCAAACCAAATGCTGTTACTTTGAAAAGATTAATAAAATTGATAGACCTCTAATCCAGGCTAACTAAGAAAAAAAGAGAGATGACAAAAGTTATTAATATCAGAAATGAAAGAGAAGACCACTACAGGACATATGTGCATCAAAATAATAATAAAGGGATATTACGAACAACTCTATGCCCACAAATTTGATAAAGTGGATAAAATGGACCAATTTCTTGGAAGACACAGTCCTCCAAAACTCACACAAGAAGCAATAGACACTCTGAAGAGTCTATATTTATAGAATAAATTGAATTAATAATCAATAACCTTCTAAAACAGAAAGCACCAAGCACAAACTGGATCACTTGTAACTTTTACTAAGCATTTAAGGAAGAAATTATATGAATTTTGTGCAATCTCTTCAGGAGAAAACAGCAGACGGAATACTTCCTAACTGATTCTTGTGGTCAGCATTACTCTATTACCGAAACTATACAAAGACATTACAAGAAAAGAAAATTACAGCCCAATATATCTCATGAACATAGATGCAAAAATCCTAGCAAAATATTAGCAAATCGAAGCAAAAAATTTATAAAAAGAATTTTACACCATTAAAAGTGTGATTTATCCCAGGTATATAAGTTTAGTTCAGTATTCGAAAATCAATTAATATAATCCATCATATCAATAAGATGATGAAGAAAAATCACATGATCATATCGATAGATGTTGAAAATGCAGTTGAGAAAATGCAACACCCATTCATGGTAAAAACTCTGAGCAAATTAGGAATAGAGAGGACTGTCCTCAACTTGAGAAAGAACATCTACAAAAAATGTATAGCTAACATTACACTTAATGGCAAGAAACTACGGGCTTTCCTGCTAAGACTAGGAACAAAGTAAGGGTGTTGCCTCTCACCATTAATTTTCAGCATTGTATTGATGTCCTTACTAATGCAATAAGACAAGAAAAATAAATAAATGTATACAGATTGAGAAAGAAGAAATAAACTGTCTTTGTTCACATACCACATGATTATCTATATAGAAAATTTGAAAATATTGACATAAAAACTCCAGTGATATTAAGGATGAAGGATACAAGGTTAATATAAAAAAAGTCAACTGATTTCCTATCTACCAGCAATGAACAAGTGGAATTTGAAATTAAAAGCACATTACCATATACATTAGCACTCAAGAAAATAAAATATTTAGGTATAAATCTAATAAAATATGTACAAGATCTATACGATGAAAATTACAAAACTCTGATGAAAGAAATCAAAGAATAACCAAATAACTGGGAGGTATTTCATGTTCATGGATAGGAAGACTCAATTTTGTCAAGATGTCAGTTCTTCCCAATTTGATCTATAGATTCAACATAATTCCAATCAAAATGCCAGCAAGTAATTTTTCAGACATTGACAAAATAATTATAAAATTTATATGGACAATCAAAAAAACCCAGAATAGCCAACACAATATTGAATGAAAAGAATTAGATTGAGGACTGACACTACCCAAATTCAACACTTGCTCTAAAGTTACAGTAATCAAAATAGTGTGGTTTTGGCAAAAGAATAGACCTATGCATCGATTGAATAGATAGTCCAAAAATAAATCCACATATAGTCAATTCACCTTTGACAAAGGAGCAAAGACAATACAATAGAGCAAAGATAGTCTTATCAACTAACGGCATTGGGGAAACCAGACATCCACATAGAGAAAAAAGGATCTAGACACAGTCTTCACAATCTTCACAAAAATTAACTCAAAATATATCATAGACCTAAATGTAAAATGAAAAACTATAAAATTCCTAAAATATAAAACAGGAGAAAATCTACCTGACTTTGTGTATGAAGATAACTTTCCAGGTACAACACCAAATGTATGATCCATGAAATAAATAATTGATAATCTGCGTTTCGTCAAAATTATAAATTTCTACTCTGCAAAAGACATTGTCAAGAGAATGAGAAGACAAACTACAGACTATGGGAAAATATTTGCAAGAGACACATGTGGTAAAGGACTGTTATTCAAAATATACAAAGAACTTTTTAAACTCAACAAAAAGAAAACAAGCAACCTTATTAAAAAATGGGCCAAAGACCTTAACCGAGAACTCATCAAAGAAGACATACAGATGGCAAATAAGCATTTGAAAAGAGCTCAACATTATATTTCATCAGGGAATTACAAATCAAAACAAGAGATACCAGTACACATCTGTTAGAATGGCTAAAATCCAAAACACTGACAATACCAAAAACTGACATGGATGCAGAATAACAGGAAGTTGCATTCATTGCTGGTGGGAACGCAAAATGGTACAGATACTTTGGAAGATAGCTTGGCAGTTTCTTACAAAAATAAATATGCTCTTACCATACAATTTAGCAATTACACTCTTTGGTATTTACCCAAATGAGTTGAAAACTTATATCCACACAAAAACCTGCATATGAATGTTTATAGCAGCTTTATTCCTATTTGTCAAAACTTGGAAGAAACCAAGATGTCAATCCAATTTGTGAATGATTAAATCAATTGTGGCACATCCATACAATGGAATATTATTTAGCACTAAAAAGAAATATCAAGCCATGAAAAAATATGGAGGAATCTTAAACATATATTGCTAAGTAAAAGAAGCCAATCTGAAAAGGCTAGATATTGTATGATTCCAAATATATAACATTCTGGAAAAGAAAAAATATGCAGATAGTAGAAAGATCAGTGGTTGCCAGGAGTTAGGGAGGAGAGAGGAATAAATAGGCAGAGCATAGAAGATTTATAGAAGAGTGAAACTATTCTGTATCATAGTATAAGGCTGTTTACATTTGTTAAAACCATAGAATGTACAACATCAAGAGTGAACCCTAATGTAAACTATGGACTTTGGGCAATACTGATGTGTCAATGTAGGTTTATTGATTATAAAAAATGTACCACTCTGGGACACCATGTTGATAGCAGAGGAGGTTGTGCATGTGTTGGTGCAGGGGTTATATGGAAATCTCTGCACTTTCTGCTCATTTTGCTATGAACATAAAACTGCTCTAAAAAAAAGAAAGTCTACAAAAATTCAGATCTTACTACATTAGTAAAATTATTTGATATCTACTTTCACCCCAAACCTATTAATCATAGAATTAAGTTAAAGAAGTCCCTTAGAAAACATGTGGGGATCATATACATACATATATACACACTCTTGTGATTATTAATTTGTAAAGAGAAATTGGTAAGTTGTATCAAAATTAAAACCACATATTCATTGATTCAGCAGTTCCACTTCTAGGCATTTGTGTGTGTGTGTGTGTGTGTGTGTGTAAGATTAGCCCTGAGCTAACATCTGTTGCCAATCCTTCTCTTTTTGCTGAGGAAGATTGGCCCTGGGATGACATCGGTGCCCATCTTCCTCTACTTTATATGGGATGCTGCCACAGCATGGCTTGATAAGCAGTGCGTTGGTCCGCTCCTGGGATCCAAACCCACGAACCCTGGGCCACTGAAGCGAAGCACGCAAACTTAACTGCTATGCCACCAGGCAGGTCCCCACATTGCTTTTTTGACCCTAACTCCACCACTAAAATCTTCATACCATGCCCTCACCTCTTCAGTGAATAATTCCTTCACAAAAACCTGGCTTTCCCTTGCTTTACTCTTTCATTCTCAACTGGTGGCTGTTTTATCCCCCACACCCCCAGTAACTGGATCAGGAGGTGAAATAGGGAGTTTTCTTGCTCCCCACTTCTATTATCCCTTCTATCTTCCTAAAAACCTCCAGCATTGATTGTCACTTGAAAAGACTAAACTGCTCATTTTTCCTGCTTTCCTTTTTTTTTTGGCTGGGAAAGATTCACTCTGAGGTAACATCTGCTGTCAATCTTCCTCTCTCTTTTTTTCTTCTCTCCAAAGCCCCAGTACACAGTGGTATATTTTAGTTGTGAGTTCTTCTAGTTCTTCTATGTGAGCCACCGCCACAGCATGGCTACTGACAGATGAGTGGTGTGGTTCTGCACCCAAGAACAAAACCCAGACCACTGAAGTGGAGCGCACTGAACTTTAACCACTAGGCCATCAGGGATGGCTCTTTTCCTGCTTTTTTAAAGTCATCTGCCAACCCCCAGTCAAACCCCTACATTCCTTAAAGACTTTAGTTCCTGGATCATCATTACTCTCTCCAATACTACACTTTTTCTTTGATTTTAATGTATTCAAGATGATCCTTTTAACGCTCTGACCTTTCCATTCTTTGAAATCCTCTCCTCCAGTGATCGTGGCTTTCCTCCAGCCAACTCAGCTGCTTATACCCATGGTCACATCCTAAACCTCACTTTTACTGATAACTGCAAAGCCTCAGAACCACAATTCAATATGCCCTACACTGTGGCTACATCTTCTATCTTTCCTTCTATTATTCGGACTCTAACAATACCTCTTACCCCACTAGGACTGAAAATCCATTTCTCCTAGTACCTTTCCATTGTCCCTCGTCTCTCTTCTCATGTGCTCAATTGCTTCCTAAACCCATTTAAAATTCCATGATCAATTATTATAATCATTTCCTTTCATACACCCTCAACTCAGTTGCCTTAATTATATTTCATCATACTAGCTTGGCTATATCACATTTCTCATTAAATCTAATCATCCACCACTCTATGTCTGTACCTTTACAGCTAAATACTGTAGAAAACACATAACCATTATGTCTGAGCTCACTTTATATTCAATATTACTATACTCAAGTTGGCCCTTAATGCTACCTGGTAATTATATTACATATTTCTACTACAATAACCCTTCTCAAACCTCCAAAATCCTCTTTCCTATCTTCACTCTCAGCTGAAAACCTTGCTTTCTATTTCATTAAGAAAATAGAAACAGAAAAAGCTCCTGCAAGCTTCCACTACAATCTCTCTCTACTTACCTACTCACACCTGTTCCACTATAGTCTACTTTCTTTTTAATTTTTATAGATCAATGAGCCAAGATACTAACTAAAGCCAGCACTTCCTCTTTTCCAATAAAGTTCATCCTCTCTTGCCTACTCAAGGACATTACTCATAATATTTTTTTCTTTCTACTACATCATTCCCATTAGCAAAAAGACATGGTGATATTTCTCTCATTATATTAAAAAAATCCTTCTCTTGATCACAGTTTTACCTCTAGCTAACATTTCAAGTTTATTGTTATTTTATAATTAAAATAATTGCTAATCTTCACTGTCTCGAATTCTTTCTCCTATTATCTCTTAAACCCTGTTAAATCTGAATTTTGCCCCCACCACTCCACTGAAAGTTCTCTAGTTGACTTCATCAGTGACCTCCATATTGCTAAATCTAATGCTCAATTCTTATTGTTTATCTTTCTTGATATATCATCAACATTTGACCCAATGATCACTCTCTCTTCTTAGAAACTCTTGTTGTACTTGTCTTTCAGAGCACCACAATTGCCTGGTTTTTTTCTTCTTACCTATAGCCACTCTTTCTCAGTTCCTTTGATGATTTCTCCTCATTTCTCCAAATTCTAAATGTTGGAATGTATCAGGGCTTCATCTTTGCACCTCTTCTTTTTATAGCTGCATGGACTCCTTTGGTGTCCTCGTCTAGCATCACAGTATTATATCAACTGTATGTTAATGACTCACAAATTTGTATTTGCAAGTCATATCCAGACCTTGAACTCCAGGCTTGTGTATGTGACTGTCTACTCCTCATCTCCATTGTCTAATAGGCATCCCACGTCTAACATGTCCAAATATTAGCTTATGACATTTCTTACACACTTGTCCCCTCCTGCTGCCTTTACCATCTCAGTACATAAAGAGCAATTCTTTTCATCCAGTTTCTCAGGCCAAAATATTTGGTATCATCCTTGACTTTTTCTTTCATACTCTACCTCTAATCTGCCGGTAAATACTGCTGTATTTGCCATCAAAATATATTCTGAATCCAAGCACATCTCTCAACCAACACTACTGTGACCATAATGCAAGAGACCCTGATTATTATAATAGCCTCCTTACTAGTCTCCCTCTATCGGTCCGTGACTCCTCAGTCCATCCTCACCGCCCTCAGCACTCTAGCCAAATTACTCATGTGAAAATGTAAATTATATCATGATACTGTTGCCCAGAATCTTATAGTGGCTTACATTGTCATATAGATTAAAAGACAAACCACTTACTATGACCTATAAAACACTAAATCTTCCCCCTCCCTAAAATAAAATGTCTCTATAATGATCTTTTATAACTCTCCCTTTTGCTCACCCTGACTTAGGCACACTGGCCTCCTTGTTCATAACATACCCAGTAGACTTCTACCTCAGGGCCTTTGCACATTCTCTTCGCTCTGCATGGGATGATCTTCCTTCAGATATCCTCATGACTCACTCATTCCCTTTCTTCAAGTCTCTATTCAAATGCTACCTTCTAAACAAGGCATTTCCTTGACACCTCATAATTCTAAATCCTGCTCTGACACTTTCTATTCCTCTTTCCTGATATATTTTTTCCTTTACACTTAGCACTATTTGACATACCATATAATTTACCTATGTAAAATAAAAATTTACCTTGTTTATCAGTCTCTTCCACTGGAATGTTGATTCCCATGAGGTAGAACTATTTTCTCTGCTTTGTTCACTGCTATATCAATAGTGTCTAGTACAGCGCCTGAAATGTTGTATACATTTAGTAATTATTTGCTGCATTCATTATTGAGTATAAGTATAAGTGTGTGGCAGAAATTTAGGAATTTTGGAGAGTATGGCAGACACAGGTGTATCTATGGCCATAGATATTGTTAAGATGAACTTATTTAAAGTTTTAATTTATCATAAATGAGCCAAGAATGGAAGCATGCAATGAGAATTTAAGGCAAGGTGATTACAGTTAATAGGAAGCTTACATTGAAAAGACTTGTGTAATTGCATGACATGTAATGGCCATATCTCACTGTCATGAGTCCAGATTTCACCACATATATAAATTGCTTACAATATTTTCCTCGATGTGTTCTTGTTTGTACAGAGTTATATTTCCAGGTTTTAAATAT